TATAAGATGAGACCAATATCTCTACATGCCCAAAAATTTACGAGAGCCTGATTCCACCACGCTGCCTCACAATTACGATACGCCATGTCATTGAAAACCCTTCCTCCTGTCATTTTCCCTTTCAGCCACAAGTTGGTGCCCAAAGTCATCGAGCCAAAGTTTCTCAAGGCGTTGGATGGACACTGAGACACTGGGAGCTTCCTACCTTCTACATGTCTCTACTACTGCATTAGATAAACTTTGTACCCTGCTTAGTAAACTACTACAGTGCGGCCAAAAATTCGTGGAGCAACTTATTGTCAAATATTCCCTCAACTGTCGAATATAATGTCGCCAGCTTTTGCGCAATGTCTTGTATCAATTTGTCTTCACAGATTAATTATTGTTGTCAACACCTGTTAGCTGTATTTTAGAACATTCCCTAATAACTACTATAATTAAAAAACTCTGGGTTGTTTCTACAGATTTTAAAAGGTTTACAGCTGGGACAATATCGCTATTAAAAGCAAGTCCGTCTTTTTTTCTTTTTTTTTTTTTACTTATCGTGACATTATGCTTTTTGAACACAAGTTTTGAGAACCTTTAATGCAAAAAAGGTATTCTTTATCAAATTGTTTTCTTGTAACAAGTTTTGTCACTAAAAAGTGTCATTGGCGAGCTGTGACGTAGTCCATATTTATATGCGTATGTAAAATGTGTGTGAGAAGTGTGAAGTGCTGTAAACGATTCCATTTTCCGAGTGATGGAGATTTATATTATAGTATTTTACATAAATTTGTGAAGAAAAGGGTTTAAAAAAATCTAATCTCAATTGTTATCTATGAAAAAATATGATTAAGTTAAGACAGATTATTGATACAAACTGCTGCACAAAGTATGGGTGACATTGATTCACCCGTTCCTGAGATATTCGAGGATAAGATGCGCCACCAATGTTTGACCGCACTGTAGTTGCCAGAAAGGAAATTAGCCTCTGAACTGAGGCCCTGCCGCTGGGGGCTCTGACGGACCCATATATTATGGTGGAGATCCTGAAGGGTCCTTGGCGATTTGCGTAAATCAGAATTCATGCATATCCATCTACAATTAGATCTAAGTTGTGTTATTGTTGTTATTGCTGCTGTTGTTGTGGTTGCTGTTGTTGTTGTTGTTGTTGTTGTTGTTGTTGTTGTTGTTGTTGTTGTTGTTGTTGTTGTTGTGTCTCCGTGGTTCTCAGGTCCGGGCGCTTCCCCATCTCTGCCCACACCAGAAGTCTTGTACGTCTCACTGTGTGACCCAAGACAAATGGGTCGAAATCAGAAGCAGTTAAATAAATAAATATATATATATATAAATAAATAAATAAATAAATAAATAAATAAATAAATAAATAAATAAATATAATAACGAGCCCGATGTGGAAAAGGAACAAATAATAGAAGGAATAGGCAGGTTGCTTCGTGTAGTTTTGAGTGTTGTGTTTTTCACTTACATCGACCTCTGCCTCAAGTATGGACAGCGAAAGATCCTGTCGTCAGTTTGTAGGTGTTTGAGTTTCAGGGCTAAATCATCTGCTTGTACTGGATGCTTTGCAGATAAATCGGGTATATTTCTAAGTGTTCAAGGGTTTGCTGAGGTAGTATAATATATGATAGTTTGTAAAGTGTATGGAGCTTGTTGTTGAAAGAGGACATTATACGCTAAACAAATGCTCTCTATTATTTATTATTTGCGATGAATCAAGGTCAACTGACAGAAGACCAATGAAAGCAGAGAACACGCAGATCATCTGGTAAAAGTTGATAAACTGGATTCCCCATTCTTTAAAATGATATGTGGATGGTTGGCGGGTGCTCTGATGTTGTCTGCTCCTTCTTTCCTATCAAACATCTATCGTCCTTTTTCTCCCCTCCTTCTAATATATATATTTTGTGTTTGTTACTCTCTTGTAATACCTCTAATCTTCGACACTTATATGACCTTATTGTGTTGCAAGTGCCGTAAAACCTCTACTAAAACGAAATACTAAAACCAAAATAAAATGATATCTTCTCGGGCATAACGTCACGACATTCGAAATGTGGCCTTACGAAAAGTAGGCTACATTAGGCATACTATAAATGATAATATAGGTCAAGAGTGATCCTGATGGGTGGTCCCAAGTTTACTTTGTTTCCACCGACCCCCCAGACCCGCGTGCATCTTCCAGTTGGGACGTGCATCTTCCAGTTGGGACGTGCATCTTCCAGTTGGGACGTGCATCTTCCTGTTGGGACGTGCATCTTCCAGTTGGGACGTGCATCTTCCAGTTGGTACAGCGAGGAGCGGACATTTAAGAACCGTATGGTGGCTCAAACTTATAAATAGACATCGACTCTCGACTCCGGTTATACATATCATTATATACAGAGAGTTATACAAATTATACATTAC